GATTCTTCTTCACTATTCCCAACTTTTGCATCCCAGTCACCCATTATTATCAATGCATCTTGATTGCATGTTCTATCTCCGACTGTAAAAGTTGGTCAGAGACCACACAAAACAAGATTGGGGAAGGTAAAAGATTCTAATCCAGGTTAATAACAGAATACAGTCAGAACATGTCTCAGATGTGCTTTCAAGTACTTCATCCTTGAGCCTTACAGTTTGCCAGTGTTACAAAGTTCTCAGTCCTGCCAGTATTGGCTTCTCCCTCTCAGCCTCAGGTCACTCCTGCCCCCTCTTGTGACCAACAAACTTGGGCAAAGGCTCTTAGCTTTAGGGATATGTGTGGGGATATGTGTGTACACCTCTCAGCTTTGACTGTGGCTGCTGCTACCATAGGTGGAACTGCAGCAGAAAGTTCTGGGTTCAAATAATGTGTTACCTTCTCTTGCTTCTTCTAATCTGCTGTTGGAGCCACTCACTTTACTAAGGGACTGGCCAATCCCCTTATGGATAGGCTAACATGTCCTATTTGCATATTCCCACCCATCCACGTGGTAGAGTCAAGTTCTGTGATGAGGAAAGCAATATTAAAAGATAAACTCCATAGTCTTCTAGTCCCCCAGACAAAAAACAGCAGGTCATCTGTCACTTTCTTCCAAACCTGCCATTTCCCTTACACATTGCACAGAACCTTTGGATTCAGATGGTTTTGGAATTGATGAAAAATGGCAGGATGAAAAATCTATAATCGCACCAGAGACATAACCTCTTGTTTTGTGGAATCTTGTCTGCAGCGCATTTGTTACGTGTTTGCAGCCTTAGTTTGATATACTTCTTTTTTTACATATGTTTCACTTTTTAAAGAAATTCTTTTTTTCTCTTTTGTTGTGTATCATCAAGTTGAATCCAACTGGCACAGGAAGCGATTGCCTCTCTCCTTCTCCAGTGGCGCATCTGGTGGATCCAAACTCTCTGTCTTTGGGATTGCAGAGCAACTTCATGCCACTAGGCCACCAGAGCTCCCTTATGTTTAACTTTTTAACCAGAAATAGTTTGATGCCAATAAAAAGTTATAAGAACAGTATAGAAAAATACCATCATACCTTTAATCCTAACGCATAGTTGCTGTCATGTTTTAATCCTGTATTTTTAAGAGCTGCATAGTATTCCATAACAATAAGATGCCCTAATTTATTTCTCCATTCCTTGTGTGAGCCTCTGGACCAAAATAGGATTCCCCGAACTGCAGTGGAATGCCTTACAGCTGTGACTTTGGAAGGGTGTGAGAGTTGATTCCTTTATGCCTGTGGGGTTATTGTATATGGAGAAGAGCACGTAACCACTCTGCAAGCTTTCTTTAATTCAAGTGACTAAACTTCTGGTTGAAACTGCTCACATCTACATGGGAGCCCTGGTGGTACTGCCACCCTACATGTTGGTAATTTAAATACACCAGCTACCTACCACTCTTCAGGCAAACAGTGAGGCAGTACACTTCTGTAAAGATACACAGCCTTGGAAACACAGTGGAGAGTAGCCATGAGTCAGAAAGGAGCGCTGGTGGTGCAGGGCTTAAAATGCCTAACTGAAGGGTTGGGGGTTGGAACCCATTATTTTTTCAAGTGGCTTCTCAAGAGAAAAACTTTAGCATGGGAAACCCCACTAGGCTGCTGTACTCTGTCCTACTGAGTGGTTGTGAGTTAGAATCCATGACAGCAGTGGTAACATATCTGGAAAATGGAAACCCTTTGTTAGTAAGATTCTCTCAAATATGTGCTACAGAGTTAGCCTGAGTATCTCATTGATGTTGTCTGTAAGATTCCTCCCTTCCTATATTTGCACATATTTTTGCGGCTCACCTGGTCTTCAGATAGTGGGAGCAGTCAGCTACAGTTCACCTTGACCACTGCTCTGGTATTGGGGCCCCCAGGTCTGGAGCAAGGGCACCCATATGGAGCAGGACGAGGGAATCTGGGCTAAGAGTGGAGGCTTTTCTGTTGTGATGATGATGGGTTTGCTTTATGTTGCAGCGAGATGGACTTCCCTTCACCTCTCATTCGCAACTGGGGCTTCAGGTGACATTGAGCAGGCTTCAGCCCTAGTCTCTCTTCAGTGTGTGAAAACCGTTTCCCTGCTGTTGGGACTTTTTCACAGTTGGACGGGTTCAGGTGCTGCAGTATAGTGTGTTGGACTACTGAGTGAAAGATCAGCCAGTTGGAGTACATGACTTGCCCCATGGGAGAAAGATGAACAGTTTCCTCCCATGAACATGCACAGCTGTTGGGACTGATGCGGTCACTGTGAGTTGGAATTGACTCGATGGCACTAGTTTGGAGTTTGATGTAAATGACTTTTCTTGGAGTTTTGGAGTCTGAACGTCGGTTGGTGTGGTGGTGTGTAGTGTGTGCTCGGCGATTTGGTTTCCCACAGCCGTAGGCGTCACTGTGGTGCTGGCTGCCTGTGTGTGGAGGCGTGCTCTTGGTCCAGGAGGGTCTGGTGTGCAGTTAATGTCGTATTTCTGCTCTGTTCTTGCAGTTGATTCAGAGCTTGTTGAGTTGTGTGGCCTTGAGCCCACCAGAATCTGCTGTGGCCATCTATATTATCTAGCTTGATGTTGATTGGGTGGGCGGGTAGGGTGAGGGAGTCTCAGTGGAGACGGACAAGGCTAATGGGAAGCTGAGCTATGGGGCAAGGGTGAGTGCTTAGAATCTTGTGCAGTAGTGAGGGAGGGCATGTGAGTGGGGTCAAGGGAAAAGGGGCAGCTCTCTGACCTAAGGCCCAGGTGTCTGGTGGGCTGTGGGAGGGGTCATCAGGGGTCCTGCAAATGTCCACTTGCATGTGTCCAAGTGTACAGTCTTCTGTTCTCCTTGTGCCCCCAGTATGACGCCGTGCCCATCCAGACCAGTGTGGTGTTGTGCTCCTGTCCACCCCCACCCATGGTGAGAAGCCAGACTGACAGCAGCGCCACTGGCGTTTCCAGCAGCAGCAGCAGGACGGGGCCCAGCATGGATGGCACCACGGCCGAGGCCCGTCCCAGCCCCCTCCAGCACTCGGCCGAGGCCCGTCCCAGCCCCCTTCAGCACACAGCCGAGGCCCGGCCCAGCACCCTCCATCACATGGCCGAGGTCCGGCCCAGTGCCAGCACCCTCCAGCATGCAGCCCAGGCACCACCCCAGCCTCGAAAGAAGCGCCCAGAAGACTTCAAGTTTGGAAGGATTCTTGGGGAAGGCTCTTTCTCCACAGTGAGTACTGCTTCTGCCCTGTGGCAGCTGCAGTGAGGCCTGAAGTTAGAAAACTCAGAGTGCAGGATGGGCTTTCTGGGGGAGGCAGCCATCCTAGGTTCCCCAGGCCCGTTTGCTGCAGGATGTGAGAACTGTAGTTACAGACTTTAGCTGATTTTGTAGATGAAAGCTTTGCAAAATTACTTGTTCTTTATTTTAATAGAAATTGATTCCCATTTATTTAATATGTTGTCGTTATGTGCCGTTGAGTTGCCTGTGACTCATAGCAATCCTATGTACAACAGCCTTAAACCCTGCTCTATCCTGTGCCAATCTTATTGTCTCTGACACACCTACTCCCATTACTCCAGCCACTGAATCAATCCATCTCATTCAGGGTCTTCCTCTCTTGTGCTGTCCCTCCACCCTCCCAAGCAAGACGTCCCTCTCCAAACAATGGTCCCTCCTTGCAACATGCCCAAAGTATGTCAGATGAAGCTAGGGTATATTTTGACTGGAGAACCACAAATGTCCCCAGCAAGGGATCTCCAAATTATTCTTTGTACACACTACCTTCTCATCTAACTAGAAACTGGAAACTGCCTTTGATCTGGTTGCAGCCTGTGTCTCGGGCCCTTTACCAGGGACCCTGAGAGACAGTCTGTCCTTGGATAAAAAGTCACTGTCAGTGTCCTTATAGCTTTCTGATGACACTTTCTGACCATCATTTCTCTGCTCTCAAAATACTGGCTGAGCAGCAGCCCGTTTGTGGATGAGGTGACTCCTCTAGCACCTTTAGCCCTCAGGTCTGTGACCTCAGGTCACCAGCAGAGAGATTTGAAGGTCACTTGAATTATCTCCTTGAAAACCTGGGTTAACAGTTTTGTCTGTCATATGTTGTTTTATCATTCTTAAAGCAGAGAAATGATGCTTAAGCCATCCCTCTGCTGATAGGAGACCACAGACCTTTGGGGGGCCTTGCCCAGCTCAGATCAAGGACTTTGTAGAGCAGGGCCACCACGCAGTGCGGGTCTTGCAGTGGGACACTCCTGTACCCCAGCTCTGTGGAGACTTCCCATTTCAAATTTGGTCTCCCCTTTCTTGACATTCATGAAATATTTCCAAACAGGAAGAATGAAAGTAGTATAACACACTGTGGTTCCTAGCATTTTGTGTGAATTAGCCTTCATTTTTGCCCCTCTTAAGTTTCTAATTTAGATCTTTTTTTAGCATCTTCTGCATAAACGATATAAGTGATGGCTTCATAATAGCATGTGAACCATGCAGCTGCTCTTAGTCATTCTAGAAGGCACTACCACATCCTTCCCTAAAAAGGCCTTTATGTTTATGGAACCATAGGTTTCTGCACAGCTGCAACAGAAGGGAGAGGTGCCTGCTCCTCAGTTGTCTGGGCAGACTCTGGAGAGGCTGCAGGCTCACTCCAGACCATTGCACAGAGAGTGTCACAACAAAGCCAGTCCCGTGGAGGTTTTGGTTTCCTAGTGCATATAAGAGTTGTATTTACAGCGGACTAGTGAATGTGCACATTCTTTTTCATTGCTTTTGACTTGAAACTGACTCATAGCTGACCTTCCATTGGGTTTTCAGGAGCTGTAAATGGCATAAAGGAGATTGCCCTTCTTTCTCCTTTGGAGCAACTGGTGGATTTGAACCAGCTGTCTTTGGATTGGCAACTCCTTACCCATTAGGCTACTGGAGCTCCCTAAGTGTGTATTTTTTGGTGACGACTTTGACATATGCAGAATGATCAAAATACGACACACATGAAGTGACCTGTTAGAAAAATGGTGCCGACAGGTTTGCTTGATGGAGGACTGCCACAGACCCTCAGGTGTGGACAGTGCTGTGTGTGCACAGCATGGGAGAACTGGTGCGTCATGGACATCTCACCGACTACTGGCAAGGCATCTCTTAAGTCTCCCTGGGGTGCAGGAAGGCAGTGCACTCTTCCCATGGGCAGTGGCTTGACACCCTATGCCCCATGAGCCCCATGTTGGTGGATCCCGAATGCTGAGAGAGCAGGCATGTTTCTGGGCCTGGGAGCCCTGCAGGTCTGGGCCCACTGTCCATCTGGCCTCCTCAGACCTGGAATGTCATCCACTTAGTGGTGGAAACAATGCTGTCATGGGCTGGATAGTGTCTTTGCTGGCAGAGCTTGATGCCCATGCTGTGGTTTGATGTCCAGGCTTGTCCAGACATTAGCTCTGGTGATGGGGAGGGCTGCAGTATGTCCTGTCTTCTGAGAGACGGCCCCTCTCCTTGTAGGGAAAACCACTTATGAAATGCTGGATATACCAGGATGCCCCTTCAGACCTCTTTAAAGCCAGAACCACTTATGTCATCCTGCCTGCCTTTCTGTGTACAAAGCCCCAGCCTCATGGTGAGCCACTCCTGCCCTGCTCCTGCCAGCCATGATGAGACTGATGCAGTCCATGCATCGACTGTGAAGATTTGTGAACTGATTGATGGAATAAGGCCACTGGACAGACTGTCTCAAGAAAGAGTCCCCACTACCTGCTGTTCTCTGAGGAGCCATAGTTCTGAGTGTTCTTGCCCCATGGGAATGACTGAAAGCACACCAGCATCTTTCTGAAAACAGTTGAGCGATGACACTTTACTCTTCATGATTAGCACACCCATGTGGCACTCACATGGCACTGGGCTTTGTTGGTCAGTATAGGCTTAGAAACTGGACTTGTGATGGCTGACTGTTTTTATTATACTGTATGGCACTGGTCTGTGCTTTGCTGTACATAGGTAACTCGTGGTTGCTGTGATTCTAAATACTGTGACACTCATGTGCCAAATACGTTAATGGTTACCCACGGTGGGCAGTGTTTGGTGGAGCTTCCTAGTTAAAACAAGCTTGGAAGCAGGAGTGGCATCCACTTCTGAAATGGCTTGCCTCAGGTAACTCTATGGACAGTGCTCAGGTCTTTTGTCCATAGGGTCTCTATCGACTTGACAGCACTTAACAACAACAATAACAATATGTACTAAGATTAATAATAGTACGCTATTAATCAGAATCCTCAGGTCAATGTATTTGTAAATGCTCATCCAGTTATGTAAATCTATAATGTCTGATATTAACACCTCAGTCCATGACTTAGTTCCCCAATTCCTTCTGGTCTTTATGGTCTTTGCTAGAAGGTCCTGTAGAGATTTGGACCCATCAGGGGAAAGAATCATGTGACTGTAGGTATGTAGGCCAGTTTTTTGTAGAAACTAGTGAATAATGGACCAGGTGAGATGCTTAAACAGAGTTTCGCTGCTGCTCCTGTGTTGGTATTTTTCACCATCCCCTCAAGTGTGGAGAGTTCTCTCTTATATTTATCCTCTATCTGCTGCTGACTTGCCAGACCACACTGATTTACAAGATCATGCATCTACAGTTAAAGTTTTTAGAGACCAGAGGGGGCTAAGATAATGGCTAAAAAAGCCAACTTTAGGCTAACATAGCACTGACCTTCCTCTTGGGGAAGAAGCAGGTGGGACGAGCCACACATTGAGGGTCTTCTCCCTTCTGTCCCTCTCCAGGTGGTCCTGGCCCGAGAACTGGCAACCTCCAAAGAATATGCAAGTAAGTGAGTGTGCCGTGAACTTGGGACTGAGGGGCAGTGACAATGTGGCCTTGGGGCCTATGACCCAGCAGGCAGGGCCTTCTGGGGTGTCCATGTTGATGGCTGTGCTTGACTGCTCCACATCTAAGAAACCTGTCTCCCAAGAGACTGCGTCTATATCTGCCTCCTGGACAGTCCTCAGTAATGTGCCCCTTTCCCTCAGTTAAGATTCTGGAGAAGCGGCACATCATCAGGGAGAACAAAGTTCCCTATGTGACCCGTGAGCGGGATGTGATCTCGTGCCTGGACCACCCTTTCTTCGTGAAGCTTTTCTTCACCTTTCAGGATGACGAGAAGCTCTGTATCCTTGTAGAAATGCAGGGCCAACCTGGAGCCCAGAGGGGGCTGCTGACATGGTGGCCTGAGGTAGCTGTCCCTGGGAAGGAGGCTCTGGGTACTGGTGGGAGCCTCCTAGAGTGTGATAGTGTCCGAACCAAGCAGGGATGGGGGAGACTTGTGGAGGGGACTCAGGCACGTCTCTGGCCAGTGGGTGTGGGATTTGCTGGAGGGAGACCTGCTGAGCAGGCAGGGAAGGAGCACAGGCTAAGGACCCTCTCTGTGTCCGACCCCCACTGCCCTCCTTCTTCTGGTTGCTCTGTCTTACTCATGGAAATAATGAGCTGCCTTTTCTGGGGATCCATACTCGCTTCACATCTCCCAGGGTTCCTCAGCCCAGGGCTCTCTTTGACTTTCAGATGTTAGGGGTGGTGTGTTCGCTTATTTGGATGAGTGCCTTCCCTATCTGCGTTGTCCCCTGAGGCACATTGTCCTGGCCAGAACTGTCACACAGATGGGATGGCCAGAGGAGTGCTCACGCACAGGCCTCTGGGTTATGATAGACACTGGGAGGGTTGTGGGTGCCCCATCTCTGAGGTGAGACTTAGCATGGCTGCCCAGCAGAGCCTGTTGCGCCAGAGCCAGAGTGCAGTACATCCTGGTGGGGCCATGCAGGGCACTTCCTGTGCCTCCTGGAGCCCGGTCCTAGCCTCCCAACATCCTAGAATCTGCTTTTCTGCCTAAGGCCTCAGTTTGCATCACTCAGTACACTGGGCTCATTGTCCCTCCTGTGTGTCATGACCTTGAGGAAGTTACCTGACTTCTCTGGGGTTCCTCATCCACAAAGTGTGGGTAGTGAGCTCATTTGGCTTCCAGGTTCTTTGCTTCAGGCTCTTGCCTCACTTGCTGCAGGGGCCTTCACTGTGAATTCTAGATGAATGTTTCATGAGGAGGGGCGTGCGCATTCATGTGTATGCATGCTGCCCATGTTCGTGTGTACAGGCATACACAGGCATGGACATGTATATATACGTGTGTGGAACATCTGCAAGCATGTGTAATGTGAATTCACATGTGCACCTTTCTGTGTTTTTTATTGGTACATGTGTAAGTGTGTAGGCATTTGTTATGTTCAGAACCAGTTGATCTCAGCTGCATACCAAGCAGAGACCTAGAAGTACCCTCATAGAGGAAGCAGAACCCTAGTAAATGGTCAGATAGGGTAAGAGCCATGAAGCCAGAAGAAGGGAAAACTATGCCTCCTTGGCTGCTACCTGACTCCCCAGGGGCTTCACCAGGAGACTCTGTGCCATTCCGGGTGAGCCATCTTGTGTGGGGCCATCATGAGTTTGGCTTGAGATCAGGTGGTTAAGCTGGAGTGGCCCTGGAGTCAACAGACCGCTGCCTCCTTGCATGCCGAGTGGGACCAGGCCTGGCTGTTACTGCATTCCCTGAGTAGAAGGGAGGCATGTGTGTTGATTAAAGCTCCGGTGGAAAGTTGTCTGAGCCAGAAGGGCCCAGGTGTGACTAGAGATTGGCTGCCTCCAGTGTGCTTCCTGTTTCCTGCCCCTCTAACTGCCCCTGCCTGGTCTGAATGGCACCACTGCTGGAAGAGAGGGGGACCTTGAGGAGACAGGGACCAGATCTGAACTCTGGTGGAAGAAATCTAGTGTCTGCCTCTGTGGATGCTGCTGTCCAGAGGAACTAAAGAGCTCACACTCCATTTTCCTGGAGACTGTGCCATCGGAGCCCCACCGATGTAGCATATTAAGTTTTGTGCTGCTAGTCAGAAGGTCAGTGGTTTGAGTCTATTGGGTGATCCAAAGGGGGAAATGTGAGCAATCTTCCTGCAAAGATTCACAGCTTGGAGACTTGATGGAAGGTCACTATGAATTGGAGTTGATGGCAGTGGTTTGATGATACCTCAGAGGACCCCTGATAATACCTTAGATTAAGTTTTGTGACAACAACCAGAAGGGCAGAGTAGAAAGACTAGTCTCAGCAACTCAGACATGTCCTCTTTTTGGCATTATCTGTGGCTTTCTTGAGGAGTCCTGTTAAGGGAGCTCTGGTGGCCTAGTGGCATTAGAAGCTGCTCTGAAATCCTGAAAGTGTGGTTCGAATCCACCAGATGCTCCGCTGGAGGAACAATCTCCTCCTGTGCCAGTCAAATCTAACTCGACAGTACACAATAGCAACAAAGGAGCCCTGTTGGCATTGGGCATTGCATGTTGGGCTGCCACCCAAAAGGTCAGTGGTTTGAATCCTGCTTCTTGGGAGAAGGCTGGAGAGTCTCCTCTGATGAAGATTTGATGGAGGGTTGCTGAGTTGGAGCTGATTCTGCAGCAGTGGGCTTGCTTTTTTGTTTTGGTGTCATCAGTGAGTTTAGTCTTAGAGGAGTTGGGCTGAGAGGTGCAGCTCTGACCATGGAGCTGTCACTCAGGGGAGATCTCCTGGTTCATTGTCTTCAGTTTTCTTCAGATGGAAAAATGTGCTTATCAGGCTGTTGAGTCATTTTTAGATGAGTCTTCATGCCCTTCCTTGACTGCACTGCGTTCAGATTTTGGTCTGAGCTATGCCAAAAATGGAGAACTGCTCAAGTACATCCGCAAAATTGGGTCATTCGACGAGACCTGTACCCGATTCTACACAGCTGAGATCGTATCTGCGCTGGAGTACCTGCACCACAAAGGCATCATCCATAGGTGGGTGCTTGGCCGGGGTGGGCCCTTTCCCATCTGAGAATTTAGGTATGGTCCATTGAACAGTCAGTCCTGGAACTGGAGGGGCCTCCTGGGGTCAGCTTGCTCTGGATTATAGAATGAGGCAGTGACTTCAGCTGGCAAGGTATCTTGGTTATCTAGGGCTGCTTAACAGAGATACCATAAAGCTGGCTGCACCAAACAGATTCTTAATTTGTTGTTGTTGTTGCTTTTAGGAGGCTCAAAATCTAAATACACTTTGGAGCATGGCACCAGCCCTAAGAGCTCCTCTCTCTTTTGGGTTTGGAGGAAAGCCCTTGTTCGGCGGCTGTTGGTCAGGCGTTCCTTGGAGATACCTGTATGTGTTGGTCTCTAACTTTGTGGGCTGAGTGCAGGCTCTGTAGTTGTGCTTCTTTGTGTCATTCTTTATGCCAGTCACATTGAACGTTCCCAAAAGCTCTTGATATTATTATTTTTTGTTTGTTTTGCTCTTGATAGTTTGAGTGACGGGTTTATGAAACATACCCACAGAGAAAGCCCAGAGGACAGGAATGGGTAGGATGAGTGAAAATGAGAATCATGGGGTGGATGTGGAAAGTATGTGGTTACATTGTGGGAACTGTAATTAATGTCAGCAGACCCTATACAAGGGATTCATTAGACATGATAATTAGTTAATGACAATTGTAATTAATGTTCTAAAACAATGTTTGAAAAACCAATGATTGTAAACTTTTCACTCATAAGAAATAAAGAATTCTGAAAAATAAAAGTCATAAAACAAAATATGTATGAATAGTTGAATAGAAAACCAATTCGCTTTATAAATTCTCATTCAAACCACAATAAAGAGAAAATTTATAAGATAATAAACAGGATCATGAAATATATTTTGGGAACATCCCCTTGGTCACACTTTGTGGTAGACTTGTGGTAGACTTTCATGCTTGACTGTGACTGATCCTAAGTAGAGATGATAGGTAGCTCCAGTTAATTTGTCTTCAGTAGGATTTAGAGATTTTGTCTCTGACAGGTGCAGTTCTCAGGACTGTGACCCTTAGCTCCTCTGCCTGGAACTTGAACTTACTTTGTGACTCAGCTTTCAAAACAACAGGCCTATATGGAGATCAGGGAGGGGAAACAAACTCTTAGAACAGTAAATAAACCACAGAAGATCAAAAGGGCAGCATTTGCCCTAAAGAAAGTTCAGGTGCAGGTTAGGAGGAGGAATGGAATCTGAAAACCCTGGGAGTAAGTGGGGAGGGTGTGGCTACAAGGTGTGGTTTGGAGTAGGTGACATGAAAGATAGTGTTTGAAGTTTTGAAGGGATAACTCTGGTAACTTTCACTCAAATCACAGTAAGTTAATGCAGAACTGCTCTGATCTCTAACCTGGCATTCTTTCCACAGGGACCTTAAACCGGAGAACATTCTATTAAACGAAGACATGCACATCCAGATCACGGACTTTGGGACAGCTAAGGTGCTCTCCCCTGAGAGCAAGCAAGGTACAACATGTCTCCGGGGATCTGAGCGGTGTGTCTGGGTCCTGCAGGAGGTGGTTGGGGCTACTGTGGGGTGCTGACGTGGGTTGACTGC